TGACTCGCTTTGTGCAATACTCCGTATTTTTTAGTATGATTAAGGCGTGTTTGGAACGAGTCTGCTTCTACATTTTTTAAAAGAAAAAATAATTATATACGGAGTATATAACTAAAATAAAGATTGTTTACGTAAATGTAACTAGTGACTAGAATAATAATGAATCATAGTAACTTAAGTTTAAATTTTATATTTAAATTACCATGACACTACATTGTAGTAATTATTAATCATATTTCTGTAAATAAGTTTTATTTTAGTAATATATCTGTAAATAAATAAAACAATGACCAAGTTTTAATATTTGTTAAAGAATGTAATGAAGTTTACAAACTGAAATTTTGTTTAAAAAAGTTTAAATATGATTTTAGTCCTGTAGATATGACACATTTTGTTCTAGGTCCCTCCAAACATGCTCTATTTTAATTTTAGTCCATTTGTAACTCCGAAACAATCTCTACTTAGAAAAATGTTTATTGTTAGTTGCATTACCATGACACAACGCATTCTGTAGTCCGCAAAACGTATAACAAAAATATGCATTAAACATTTTTTGCTGTCTTTGTAATACTCGGTTTCAAAAAGTGCGTCCGGACTCCGGAAGTAAAGAATCTGGAATGCATTTCTTGCTTCACCAAAAGGTCCAAAACACACCTTTCGGTGTGAAGTGTGAACCTAAAATTAATACAACAGGGTATATTTCCTGAAGGTTAAAGCAGAATACTGGTGGGTGATGATAAAGCAACCACATCACAAAGAGCGATTCGATTAAATATAATTCATTTATGTTACTTAAATTGAATAGTAAAAATTTTACTCCGTGATATGGAGTATTCTTTACTTGAACTATTTTTAATTCAAGATTACATCAAAACTAGACTAGATCGGATTAGATCAGACTTCGACAGTCCTACAATATACATGATGAGATATCTATTAAATAAGACTAGATCAATCTAGATCGAACCGATTCAGACTAGACAAGACTAGAACAGAAAATTCCAAAAAAAAATCATTATTATACATAACGTAAAGTTTTAGTTCAAGTAAAAACATAATTACTTTGCATGGTGTGTGACTTCAAAATTACGGAATATATAAAAAACACCTAATTGTTTTTGTATACATGATGGGGCAGTTCATTTATGTTGTTTCTGAATTTATCTTTCACTCTCTTTGCCCCCACAATAGGATTAAAACATATGAAAAGTGCAAATATAGGACTATTTGAGCCTGTTTACTAACAGAGATATTTTCCTGTTTTCTACTTCTATTTTTTGTTCTTCAATTTTCTGTTTTTATTTTTCCGTTTTTCTATCTCCAGTTTTCTCTTTCTATTTTCTAGTTTTCCATTTTCAAATCTCAAAACATGTTCATCAATTTTTTCACCCAGTTCTGTGATCATCCAGAAGACTGACACGTTTACTTCACAGGTTACTAAATGGTGCTTATTAAGACTCGCGTTAATAAGCGACGCATAAAATAAGCAATGTTATAAGATCATGTTTACTTCAAAAGGTTTAAAACACCGTTTAACATTAAAATGTTCAAAATAACCTTATACGTATATAGACACACAAACATTCATGACCACAAATATATATAATATAATATGTGGGGTCGATCACCTCGTACGTGTACCCGTACTCCTAACCCCTACCCTGCCCATATACCTCGTATCCCCACCCTACACCCAATTCCACACCCTTGACCCATACATCTACCCTTACCACGATCTTACACTCTACCCATACTCCCCTAAAACCCTTCATACCCACCCATACATACTCGTAGGGGTCGGGTGGGGAAGAAAGGTATGGGTGGGTGGGTGGGGTAAGGGGTATGGTCATGGTGGGGTGGTAAGGTCTAGGGGTACGGGTTGGGTGGGGTAGTGGGTGGGTTAGGGTGGTGGTTAGGGGTAAGGGTGAGGGTAGTGAGTAGGGTTGGGGTTAGGGTAATGTAGGGGTACGGGTAGGGGGTTGGGATAGGATGGCGGTAGGGTGGAGCCGGGATCAGGGTGGGGCCGAGGTAGGGGAATGGGGGTAGGGGGTAGGATGGTGGTGGGGGTAGGATGGCGGTACGAGGGTGGGCCGAGGTAGGGGCATGTGGGAAGGGGTAAGGGGTAATACAAGAGGTGGGGGTAGGGTAGGGTTGGTCGGGGTGGGGTTGAGGTGGTAGGGGGGTGGCGGTAGGCTAGGGTGGATCGGGGTGGGACCGAGGTAGGGGGTGGGAGTAGGGTCATTGTAGGGAAAAAGGGTATGCGGGGTGGGGGTAGGGGTGGGTAGGGGTAAGGGGTAAGGTACGAGGATGGAGGTACTAGAATGGAATCGACATCGGAGCAGGACCGGACCCGCCACTAGGTGTAAGTATGCAAACTCATTACACCAGCCTGTAGCACTTGCGTTTTCCAAATTTGAAAAACTAGTAAAAGTTACTTCTCCAAATCATTAAGGAAAAGAGAGACATGTCTCATTTTTTCGTTTTGGAAAACGGTTTGGTAAACGCGTTTTTCTGTTTTCCTTTCTCCAGTTTTCCAAGAATTTTCTTTGGTAAACATGTTTCCTGTTTTCTGTTTTCTAGTTTTCCAGTTTTCTGAAAAAATGAAAAATATCTCTGTTAGTAATACGATAGGACTAAACATGGAATGACATGCTGAAAATCATGTTCCTCTTTCTTCCGCCAGTAATCTGCGATGAGTGCAGACGATGAAATTTAAGGATATTCAATGGGTGTGATGAATCTAGTGATTGTTGTGTTACACGCCTAGGTAAGCTTTTTCGCTTTTTTCTTCTTTTTCTTCTTCTTCTTCTCATCACGCTACTCTGTTATCTTCTTTCACCTTCCATTTGATTTCTCCTCTTTTGGTTTTCTATTTTTTACGAATTCTTATTAATTTAGATTAAAATGTTCATATTTTTTTCTCATCATTTTGAACCTAAAAGTGCCATAATTGCAATTTTTATTGAACACTGGTTTGAAAAAAAATGCCAATGTTATGTCATTACATTAATCAAGGTGACATTTTTATTTTACATCTTTATTACATTGTCAGAGCAAAATATGACATTTCCAAAGAGTAAAAATGACATCCTCATAGCATTTTCATAATAAACATGGCAGTTTAAAAAGTGAAAAAAGAGGAATGATTGTCGTATCTTTTACATATGTAAATGTCATGTAGTCATATTTTTGACATTTTGAAAGTAACATGATGTGGAGTATTTTTTTTTAAACGTGGAAGGAGGAGGAGGAGGAGGGATACCAGAAGATTGAAAAACTTTAATGCAAATGGAGGTAGGGAGAGCAAGGGGAGAATAACACCATGGAAATAAGTTGGAGTCGTAGAGGAAGATGTGGAGACGGACCGCTGAATAAGATGTTGGAGTCGAAGATGAAATCATGAAGATGAGAGTTTCAAACGGGAGAAAAAGTGATGGGTAGGGCAGGGGTAGTTTGGCATTGCGTTAACTCCTATTTTGACTTTTCACATATGTTTTAGTCCTATTTATGGTAAAACAAAATTCCTAAAACTTCTTCTTTTATATTAAAAAATTCCCCAACATCTTGAAATCACAGGCTTCAATGACAAAATAGCCATCAACATGAAATGGTTGAGGATTATGATTTCAAAATTAAAAAACGATAATCACATTGATAAATGAAGGATACACTATAACTAATGGGCACCCAAATTTCCATCAACATGAACCTGTAATGATGTAAATGTGAAGTGTGCCTAAGATGATCCAACTCAAGGATTCAATAATATTGTACAAAGATTCATTATTTTTGGCTTGAGATTATGATGGAATAAGGCAAAATGGCTCGCTAAAGTGTCTGCACTTCTTTGTTATGAAGCAGCTGTCAGTCCATGCAATTTTGAACGAGATTTTCACTATGAGTCATCCGGAAACAGTCTCTCTGTTCTTTAGTACAGGGGTAAGACTGCGTACATTCGACCCTCCTTACCCCACCGTAGGTGGGAGCCTTTGCGACACTGGGATAAATGAAAATGATAGTGGTGCTACTTGTACAGTTGTACACATAAGTTGTACACACTCCTTGTACATAGTCCCTAGGGATGAGGTGTCATCCTTATCACTTATAACAAAACTTATTACTGAGTGTACTTCCTACCAAGCAAAATTGGAGCTCTTTTATTCATTTACGTAGGGTAACATTCACAAGCCTTGATCATAATATGTTTTGGGCCAGCTCTATCTCGTTGGCTAAAGATAAGTTGGGCCATTATCCAACACCACACTTACTATATATTTTTTTCAATCTATTTGCATAATTTTTCTCTAAAATACTACCATCTCATATTTTCATGCATCCACTGTGCAAACCTCATTTTTTGCAAATAATCAAATGATAATCTTTTCTTGTTTAATTGTAGATTCTAACTGCATATGTATAAGTGTGTGTATAACAGAAGCTGAAATGGATGAATTAGTTTTGTAACCTAAAGCTAGAGATAAGTATAGGAACGGTCCTATACTCCTATTCATACTCTTTTTCATCCCATTCGTTAACACTTATTTTCAACTAATTAGCCTTACAAATCAACTTTTTTACTAACATGCAGTTTTTCATTTGACGATAATCAAAATAAGTAGAAGATTAGAGTCATATTCCAGACTGAATGAACTGAAATGGTTGAAGATGACTTTATAGCTGTTTTTTAATTATATGTATTTTTCACAGCCTAGTCGCTTCAACTAAAAAATCACTAATTTCATCTAATTCAACCAATTTCAATGTTACTAAACATGCTCTACATTTAAATTCATCAAATCAAATTCCGTAACAATCAATTAGTTAGATATTGCACATTAATAGTTGCTAAAACTTTTGTATGATAATGGGTGTAGAATATAACTGAAATAAATGGTTTTTAACAGATCGATTATACACTTGATCTGCAGCTCAATCAAGAATTCAAGAGTTCAAGACGAATGAATGACTTGCATATGAACTTATTATATGACCAAAACACAGAATAATTTCCTATCACTACATGTACATGTTGATAATACAAAAAAAAGAAGAAGCTCGAGTACATTAATACGAGTTGATAATACGAAAATACGAAATCATGGAGATATACGAGTCTAAATCATGGAGACCATTCCATTATTCCATTCCAATCTGCCTAGAGATATACACTATATATATATGGAAGACTTCAAATAAAAAGACCTCTTCCCGTGCAAAGTGCGAAGAGATGCACTTTTGCATGTTTCGCTTGCACTTTTGCGTGTTTCTCTTTCACTTTTTTGCGATAACGAAAAAGTGCAACATATTTACGAAATTGCCACCGCAATTTTGGTCGAATTTTGTGCATTTTTGGCTCATTTTGAGCCATTAGATGTGGAAATGAATGCACAAGATTCATTCTCACTTTGCATGGGAAGATGTATTTGTATTTGAACCATCCCCTATATATATAATTATATAGTACATTAATACGAAAATGTCTTCAACATAAAGCCACAAGAGGGGAGGATACAATCGGACGCCAAGTATTTAACCAATGTAAGGAATGAATCTATGTACAGTATATGACGATGTCTTAACCTATATCCCTACCAGGTAAAGAGCTCGAGAGAGGGAACACAGTCATCACACACAAGGTTCAACTTCCCGCAAGCCAAACACACACCAGTAGCCGGGCTACAACTGGTGTTTTGCAGCAGCAGCTTCCCTTTTCAAGGCTCTTTTTGCTCGACGCCCTATAGGATTGCGCGATGGAGAAGGACCCGGCCTAGCTTCAAGTCTACCTGCCCTAACATAGCCATTATCCCCCCATCTCCTATTGCCGATGCGTACACTTGATGAATTGCCCAAATAAGATTCATTAAGATCGTCTTCTTCGTTGTCATACTCGTCATATAATGTGAAGCCATCCGCATTATCATCAACAACTGTATTATGTTGTTCCGCCCCCACTGTCATAGGCTTGAACCATGAGGCCCTTAAAAGCAAGGAGACACTCTCCTCAAACATGTAATCATGTATGCTGCCAGACAGAACAACAATAAATGCTTCTGAGGATACACATATAGTAATAAACTCAGTCTATACAAGGTGAGCCTTTACAACAACTGGTGGAGTCAGGAAAAGTAGGCTAGATTATGCCCTTCCTCAGACCCACCCCTACTCCCAATGTATGGGACCATGTTTACTAACCCCGTCAGTGACAAAGTCGTGTTTGACCAACATACAATTTTGGATTTTGATAAGGTAATCATAAATCATGAATGGCACTTGCATATTTCAAAATTTGTTCGTTTGTTTAAACTAAATTTACCATATGTAACTTGTGAATTACATATCTTAGCTGAAAAGTGAAATATAACTTCTCCTAAATCAAGTGTGTTTAAATATCTTAGCATGAAAAATTCGCTTCGTTTTATCAAGCTACACTTAGTTTGAGCTTTTCTAAAGAAGCGTTCTTGAAATATGTAGTGCAACTCTATTTTTGTTGACGGAAAACACGAAAGTATGATTACGTTTCAAGAATGCCATGTCAATTGTAAAATCGGTAGCATACCTGCCATCAAGTGCCCGATGGATGTTCAGAAACTCGAATGGTTTTTTGCACTGAGGACAAATTGGTTCCTTTTTGTAGTCTATCCAGCGTAGGATGCAATTGACACTGGAGACAAGGTCAATGATAAAAAAATACTATGATAATCATTTTTGGAATATCAAAGAAGATCTAAAAATTCCATAGAATATACATTGTGCAAGTATATGAAGTCCAGCAAGGGAAAACTGACTGCTATAAGTCAGACTTGCAATCATTTAGCCAAACAAAAAAGATGTGCAGCAATATAAAAGTGTTTTAAAGTAGGGGTACATCATCATTCAAAGCAGTACAGCTCATAAACAAAACAGAGAGATGTAGAATTGGAGGTATCCTAAACAAAAATGAATTTTAGCATCAGCATCTAATAATAATGTGAAAAATCTAAGTGTACAAATATGGGAGAAACACGTTAATATAGTAATTAGGAACACATTTATAAATTCTTATTCATATATTTATATATACAGACATGTGCACTCATTTCATATGTGTGTGTGTGTGTGTGTGTGCGCACACACAATAAAGAATAGTACTTTCACAGTTTCAATTGAGTACGGATTTGAGATACTCGCAAGCCAAAAAATCATACCCGCCCACACATATATTAAGGTAGTAATCATAAGAGGAAGGATTAATGGATTCCAGCAAGGTACCATTGTACCAACTCCATACACCCGCACACATTGAAAGTGGGAGTGAAAACCTACAAGCCTATAAAACAACTAGAGCGACATTAAGAATATATCCATAACAATCATTTTTATACAAACTCTGTTTGTCGAGTGGCTCGAATCGTAGTTGAAGGAACTGTAGGTGACACAATGGTTAAGTTTCAGTGCCAACTTTAAACCTAAATCCCCACTTTTCATTTTTTTAATTAAGCCAGTGATAAAGGTGCAACATTTTGGAATGTGTGTTTTCAGGGGAATGTGTCTTCCATTTCTGCAAAATTGCCAAGACACGGGCCCTTAGGCATTTCCATTCTTCTTAATGTAGATTTGTAAAATAAAACCATCCTCTCATGAATCCAACCCATCAGTTGATCAATATTCAATACATAGAGCATGCAAAGAGAACGAGAGAAGTCAGATTGCAGATATAAATAAACCACATCCTAATATCCCATTTATAATGTAGCTTCTGACCACCCAAACAAGTGTAATAATTTGAAAAGTTGTCCCTTCTTGCAACACATTCTGAACGGGTGAAGAAAAAACTAAAGATAAGGTTATGATGCAAGTTACAGTATTCTTTCACAAAATAACCAGCAAAAGAATGGCAGTTGTCCTAAGATTGTTATGCATGTATTCTTTAAATGAATTCATTCAAATTCAAATAAAAAATCTCTAGCAAAATCTACAAATGTGAATGTGTGGAAGAAATAAACAACGCTTCCATAACACTGAAACCTCAAATGATGTTCTAGTATATGGTCCATCTCACTATCTTTCTAGCAGAAACAGTTATGATCTGTTTGGATTAAGGTTCTTGGAGGGGGTTGGGAGGGGAAGGTATTGGACAACTTAGATTACATCTTGACCTCAAATGTGTGATAGCAGGAAACTAAATACTTTCTATACATTTTTAAAACCATTCGGTTTATCAGATATATTTTAAACTCCCCACAGCTTTCCCTCCTAACCCCCTCCAAAACCATTGATCTTAACAGACCCTAAAGACCGATAGACCATTGAATGTTGCTTCAACTCATTTACCTTGGTCAAAATAGTGTTTCAAAGTGAAAATGATACATCTTTACCCAGTATATGTTCAATTCCAATCATAATATACATGAAAAGAGGTACAACATAAATAGACACACCAGTACGCATGCTCGCATCCTTTGACAAGAGCAGTTTCTTGCAGCGGTATCATTCTCAAACATATTGCACAAATTCCATGATGGTTATCACACTCATCTTGTGGCGTCTCATCGGGTGCAGATGTGTTATTCACTACACCCTGACAATTGAACACGCATGCCGGTCAGCACTTAACTCATCAAATGCGATCAACAGTGACATGGTATTAAAATATTCTCAAACTCAACTAACAAGTATTGGCAGATAAACTAATACTAGTTGGGATGTGTGGTAGAACTGATAGGAAACCTGATATAGCTCATCTCTAACAAACTATCTTAGCTGAAAAGTTGTAAGGAATAACAATATCAACTGCGTGAATTAGGAGAAGTTATATTTCACTTTGTATATAAACACACCTCCTTTGTAATCAATTTTCACATCAACAGATCAGAACTCTTCTCTATCTTCTCTCTGGTCTGCTACCTATCTTACTGTACGTTTATTCTTTTCTTTCACCCATTAATAAGCCAAGTTTTTGTTCCAAGTACTAAGAAATCAGTTGAGCATTGGCTCCTGTATTAAAAACATTCCTATGGTATATTACTTATACTCATCAATCAGCAAAAAAAAATTATTAACTGAAGGGCCCTTGCTCTGAAAGAACGAAAAGGGTACTCTAAATAATAAGCTGGTTTCAAGTTTCAACTTTTAACCTTGCGACAAAAAGTGACACCGATCAAATAAGGCATTTTACTATTCTGCAATAGTTTAGATTAAACTCGTAGTAATCTTATTTCGGGTGAGTTTGTGCTCCTTACTTTTGTATGGATCTCCAATTGAGTTCTATTAATTACAAAATTTCAGAAAAAATACGTTTAGGATAAGAAATTAGTGCCGCGTCTGAAGATGAATATAATGAAATTAATCAACAAGATATAGAAGATTAACAAATGGAGAAGAAATTTAAAGGGAAATGCGATAACCTGATCCTGATCCTCCAAAGAAAGATCCCGTATTTCATCAACGACTTGTGTGCCATTGAGGTCCACAACTCCGGCCATCGCCTCTACGAATTCGGGTAAAAGATTAGGGTTAGAAAATGAAAACCTGCAATCTATCAACTTGTAGTGTAGATTCAGACGGCTATGAGAATTATGGGAGAAAGATATACAAGGGCGAAGAATAATTGGGCTTAGGGTGATATTGTTCGAAGACAATTGCGAACTATGACCCCGAGTAATGCGCGAATGGATGCGGATCGCATAAAAGCATATCCTTCAATTTCAAACTTCGTCGCTAAAATATATAAGGATTTAGGTACTGTATAAATTAATATTTAATCTATTTTTTCAGGAGTTCACCTTTCTAGCCTGAACAGACGGTTGGCAGTTGAGACTATCCGCCAAATGGTTCAAAGACAAGTCAAAAGAGGAAGCGAATCACGTTCTCAGTTATCCCTTGTCAATCTTTTCCGTCGAGAACGATTGAAATTCAAAGGGAAATGGGCAAATGGCATTAAATATATGAGGTTTTTTTTTGAAATTTTAAAATATACGAGGATGGTTGGATCTGATTCTTTGAAAAGCAGGAACAGAAGTTGGAGTATATAGGTGAAAATGAGAAGTACTTCTAGTGCTCGAATTTACTTCTAGAGCAGTGTTTTTAGAAGTTGGAGGACCAGATTCTGAAAATTGGTTTTGATTCTGTTTCTACTTTTAAAAAGAAAAAGAAGCAGATCAGTTACAAACATCCCTACGTGTAAAATATGATTTTTTTTGAAAGGAAAAGGCATCCATGTTTATATTACTTTCAAGATCTTTGTATCAATCAAACAAAAGATCATATTTGACGCCAACCAAACTCCACCAATTACGACACTGTACCCTGCGATTAGACATAGAAATGATCTCCCATGAAAGAGCAACACGGATTGCTAACTACAGAACGGGCTTAACACGGCTATCACTGCTCCTACATATCGATATACTTCTAACGACATAAAAATAGGCTAAATTTTTAATCATCCCGTCAAATCTAGCCTTTAACAAAAATCCAAACAACCAAATAACAATAACTAACTAATTGAATAATTTGACTAGGCATACGCCTACCATCCTCATGCTTTAGATTATAAAAAACGGTTGTTATATTTTTCTTTTCTAATTCAAGTACTTTGTGATTTTTAAAAAAAAAAGTCAAATACGTTATGATCAGATAATATCATTGTGACACTCTCATTGAGAATGTCACATGTTCGAATCTGACTCTGATTCAAAGATGTTGGTCGTAACATAAGACAAACACTATAATAGGCTAGAAAGCTTTGCCAAAAAAATCTTTTCTAAACTAAATATTATGAGTATTTAACTATTTACATCCATGGTAGTAAATATTGTCACATTAATGTCTAGTACTGCAACTATTTTGATAGTAAAGATTCTAAAATGACATTAAATATTGTCATGTTACTCCTATTTTAGGAAAAAAACATGACAGTCATATTTTGAAATTCTAAAACTTATTTATTCCTTTGAAAACCTTTCCAACTTCAAACTATAAGCTCAATTTATATCCATGTGCATGGTATACCGATCCCGATATTATGCCATATCTTTAATTAAAAGCAACCGGTAGAGTCCTAACCTTTCTTCTATTCTCCACACAGTTGTTATTCATCTTCTTAGCCAATCTCTCCTATCATTTCTCTCTCTCTTTTCTTCTTTTTTCTTTTCTTCTTCAATTAGTTCCGTGGAGAATGATTGAAATTGAACTATTCACAAGTAGATCCCGATTTTCTATTAATATATACGTAGTATAATCAAATTATTAGGTATAAATATTATTAATTTTCTATTTGTGTGAATTTTAAAATATCAAGTTTATAATGTTTACTAATACGTGATTATATAGAATTAAAGTCAAAGTTGTGCGTTTACAAACGTGAAAGTCAAACTGTTGCAATTTTTAAAGAACGGATGGTAGTATTTGTGAGAGTATTTACACAAAAGTCCTTATAATATTCATTATTAATTAGTATTTCTTTTCTAAACTAAATATTGTTATCAATATTTACACAGTAAATATTGTCACGTTAATATCTAATACTACAATTATTTTGGTAGTCATGAGTCTAAGATGACAGTAAATTCTCTCATGTTACTCCCGATTCGAAAAAACGTATGAATTTTATTTTAGAATTCTAAAACTTGTTTATTCATATTTCGGGAACTTTTCCAAATTCAACTATAGGTTCAAATTATATTGTAAGGTGGTTATATCATGTGTATGGTATATCGGTCCTAATATCGTACTGTATTTTTGATTAAAATCAACCAGTAGAGTCATGGCCTTTCTTTCCCCGATTTTTTCTTTTTTTTTCCTTTTCCTCTTAAGTTATTTCCATCTCCTTCATTAAAATATTAACAATCCGACTATAATTTCATTTTTCTTCATTTTTAAAATTTTGTTTTTTGTTCTCCTTTTTTTTTCTTTTCTTCTTCAATTAGCTTCTTCTCCTTCATTAAAATATTAATAATCTAATCACAATTTTGTTTTTCTTCATCTCCAAAATAGACCTTGAATTTTTCTCCCTCAATCCATTAATTCAAAACTGAACTTTTATTAATCTAAAATAAAAATTTATATTTGTATTTGAAGACCTGCAGCATCCTTCAAGTTAGCTCACATTTGGACTTGCCCAAATCGCATTTCTATATAACGTGATTTATGTTTCAACTAGTCTCAAGTTACATTTTCATTAACGTCATTTAAGTATACTTTGCCTCAACTAGTTGCATTTCAATTAACGAGATTTACAATTCATTTTGCCTTACATTTGGATACACACGATCCATTTTTCATATATGAAAGGTGATAGAATAAAAGTCAAAGAGGGTGCATGTTCAGTTGCAAATTAAAAAAAATGATTAATTTAATATTTTATATACATTAGACTAATTGGGATAATTTGGCTCATAAGTCATGACCAATTGACCATACTTGCAACATGTAGACTAGAAGTGGAAGAGATTATGTGTTTGCTTAAAATATGTTTTTTAACGAAAATATGTTATTCCTTATTCTAATTCTTTTGTGCTATTTTGTTGAAAACTAAAACCATTAAAAAGTCAATACATAATTACATATATACGTCGTCTACCTAGATTATGGTCCTAACCTAGCCGTAGCTAGGATGGACAATTCCAACAGGTAGGATTGGTGAAGTCGTTAAAATATTGTAATCTTTGAGCTTAGTAAGAGCCCCTATGGCCCTATAGATCCACAAAAGCATTAAAAAGGTCTGCTAAAATGAGAATACAAAATCAAGAATATTGTTGGACCTCAAAATAATTTCTGATATCCAATGTACTTACTAACATAGATCTTCTTCACAATCTTCTGACATTTCTAGCCGAATGCAAAGGAAAAAGCTCCAAATTTTATGTTAAATGTATAATTCACAAACAAGCTAAAATTACTCTATGATCACATGCTAAACTGAACGTTAAATAATAGCAAGACAGACAGTGATGTTCTAAGATTAGTATCAGCCACTGTCTTTTACTGAAGTTCTAGGGGTGGACTGGGTCGGTTCGGACTGGCCCGGAACCCGGACCGGACCACCACTATGCGTACCGGCCCGATCCGGTTGACCGGGACCGGGCTTTGGGGCCCGAACCGGGGGGATTTGGGGCGGGCTACGGGATGGGTATTTGGAGTACCGGACGGGCCCAATTTTTTTTTCCCAAATGGATTGGGTGCTAGGCGGGTGGGGCTGGGTGGTTTGGGGGGTTTGGGGGTGGGGTAGGAATAAATAAGAAAAACAAAATTAAAAAAAAAAAAGCTAGACCCGACCTGGCCCGGCCCCGGCACGGACCTGGAACCAACCCGGGCCGATACCGGGCCTTCAATTTCCAAACCCAGTCCAACCCAAATCCCGGACTGGGGCACGGCCCGACCCGGGCCCAGTCCAACCTTAAGCCAATCACTAGAAAATGGCATGAGTTCACAAAAATTTCCCAATTGGAAGGCTGTCTGCAAGATTTCTGGTTGGGTTTCACTTAACCCTAGGATAAAAAAAAGGTTTGTTGACAAGTAACTCCTGCTAGGGTTATTAAAACCAACCTTGCCAAGATGTTTTAAAACGCATAAAACCACAAAGGTGTCAATTAACTTCACATTGTAATGTGTAACATCAAACTAAAAAAATATGTGCATCCATAAGATGTTGTGCGTTGCTTGTTGCTCCATGATATATAAGTATTTGGCATCAACCTACAAATTTATGGATGAACAATAATACACATCTAATTCAATTTAATGTATTGAATACACTATGTAATCTGAATTTAACATGCATGCAGAGCCTAATAATGACAACAATAATACAATACACATGCAGCAGCACTCGTTCTGAGAGTCCACGTCTGGGGGAGGGGGCTGGAGTAATCAGGGCTGAAACTCACTCCATTGAGTTTCAAACCCTTATGTGCCTAGTGGGTTTCGAACTCGAGACCTCTCACTAGGCACGGTAACCTCACATACGGGTGTGAACTGTGAAGGATTATTTTCTCCAGGGCAGCTAGGGAAAATTTATTTGTAAGAAACAGTTGGAAATTAAATTCTCTTACTCCGCCTGTATAACCAAATGACTCGGTAAATGTTAGATTGAGCTAAACACCAACCCAATATCCCTTCTTAAGGCTTTTCACATAAGTGACTTGTCCATTTTATGATTACACAATTCACAAAATAAGGATGAAGGAATAAGCACATGCTTCTAAGAAACCATTATGCACTGCTAAGTAGTTCCTCACTTGCACGAGATATGAGCTAGGGTTTCTGGCTTTCTGCAGCTGAGTATGTCAGATGGGACAATTGAGAATTAGAGAACAATAACACTGCCAAACAGGGCATTGATTTCATATAAAAGTAATTGCCCCATATAGGACTAAAAGAGGAGAAAATCTCAAATAGGACCATGTATGATTTTTTCTCTAAATAAGACTATTTTACTCCTATTTGAAAACATCCGTATTTTTCATTCCATTATTACCCCCTTATCTCTTTTACGCTTTCCCTGCGCACAACCGCTTCCCCATTCCCCCTTCTTCCTGCGCACATCTTTCCCTTTCTTCCCTGCGCTCATCGATCGACTTCACCCTAACCATCGCCGCCGCCGTCGACTTCGCCTTGCCCACTAGATCGATCGACTTCTCTTTCACGCCGCCGCTGCTGTCGATTTTACTGTGCGCCGCTGTCATTAAGGTTCTCCTCCTACTCCTCCTCCTCGTCCTCCTCCTCCTCCTCCTCCTCTTCTTCTTCTTCTTCTTCTTCTTCGATTTTCCTCTGTTTTTCTAGATTTTGAATTGATTTTTCCAATTTCGAACTTCTATTTTGATTTTCTAGTTTCTGGTTTGAGTTTTAAGAAAAAATCCGATTTTCATACATTTTGGATGATTGCTTCATATTTGGCCAAGTTTATGGCAGAAATTTGTACATTGACATCATGTTATGGCAGAAAGAGTCTTGTATAAATTGGTTTTTCTGTTTTTTTTTGTCAATAGCTTCGTTTTTCTACTTTCCGATTGTGCTAAAAAATTATTCCATAAAAAAAAATAGTTGTTTGAATATTTGGTTATTTACTACATGTTTTTTCAATTTTTGCCAAATTTATGGCAGTTTTGTGTTAATATTCCAACATGAATCTGCCAACTCTTTGGCAGATCTGAAACTCTTGAGTATGACAGATGTGAATCGAATCCCGACTCTAAATCTGCCAATATAATGACAAATTTATTCTGTCTGAGTTGTTACGGTGGTGGTGGTGCTCAGCGGATGGTGGTGGTTGTGGATGACGACGCCGGTCAGATGGCGACGCCGGTGCGGGAAGCGGCGGCGGCAGCAAGTGGCACCGTCATTGGCGAGGGCGGCGGCAGAAAGCGCCGGCGAGGGCGGCGGCAGAAAGCGCCGGCGAGGGCGGCGGCAGAAAGCGCCGGCGAGGGCGGCGACAGGATGCGCCGGCAAGGGGCGGCGGCAGGCCATTTGGATCTGGCAGTGGTAGTGATACTCCTAGGGTTTCAATAGTTTTTAGTTTAAATTTTTGAAATTAAAAATTTAAAAGAGGGGTATTTTTGTCTTATTGGGCTGAAATTGGTCCTACGAAACATGAGTTTCGTTTATAGTCCTAGATGTGCAATTAACTTTGTTATTAGTCCTATTTGAGTCATTAACTCTTCATATAACTCATAGCCGTTAAAGTTATGTACTCATTACAACGGAACTATTACAATTACAACCGATCAGAATTTTAATGTGCCAACTATCCCCCCAAAAGCAGATATCTTTTACTGCTAGTTTATACTGATATTCACCAAAAATCTCCACAAGAACAAGCTCCATTCCTGAAGTGGTGAAATCTTTTATAGTCTCTCACTATAATCTCCCGTTGAAGGAATCTCGAAGCCAGCTTGATGAAAGTATGACAATCACCGCATATGCGTAGGTTCTTCATGATACGTATTGGGGTTTTCTCATGTGTAACAAGTAGAGCATAAGCCATAGCCAGCCTTTCACTGTGTCCATTAAGCAGTTCAACTTTTTCACTCTCCTCTACATTTTGCAATACATATTTGGTTTGAGCAACATAGCCTCCCTCCATCTCCAATTTCTTGGTGACATAAGCTAAGTTTCGGTAAATCTCATCACAGCATTGGTGAGACTTGTCATGAGCCACAAACGTGTGAACCTTATTTCCAATCTCAATCCAACTGCAAGCGGGCTCTTTCTTCATACCCATCCCTTTCATTGTAAACCTCACTTCTTCCACATCCTCCCACTTATCTCTTGCAGCATATGCATTAGACACAAGCACGTAATTTCCAGGATTCTGAGGCTTCAGATCTAGAAGCTTCTTTGCAGCAATATCTCCTAATTCTTTGTTAGAGTGTACGTGACAAGAACTGAGCAGAGAGCACCAAAGAGCTTCCGTCGGTCCTGATTTCATTGTTTTCAAAGTTTGAAATGCTTCCTCCAAATAGTTTGCACGACCAAGCAAATCAACCAAACAGGCATAGTGTTCTGGCCAAGGCTCCAAATTATACTTCATCTCCATTATCTTAAAAATCCTTTTGCCATCCTCCACTAGTGATGAATGGCTACATGCATAAAGAAGAACCAAAAAAGTGATATGGTCGGGAATAATATTTTCTTCCTCCATCTTTCTGAATAAGCCAATGGCTTCAACTCCATGTCCATGCATTCCAAATGCGTGGATCATACTTGTCCAGAGAACGAGATCTGCTTCACTTACACTAGAAAATATTCTTTTTGAGTCCTCAAGTGCCCCGCAGCAGGCATACATATCCAAAAGAGAGCTTGCTATAGAGCCCTGTAAAAGGTAGCCTTTTCTAATTAAGTATCCATGAATCTCTCGCCCTTTTCTTAAAACTGATAGAGTAGTAGCAGCAGAGATCATGCTCAAGACTGCAACATAATCCATTTCCATACCCATTTCTTTCATATAGAGCACAAGGTCAAGAGCATCATTTGCAAGACCATTGTGTACATAACAATACATCATGCTAGTCAAGGACACAACATCTTTAAATTCAATCAACACAAATATGTTTCTGGCATATTCCAAGTTCCCACAATCCCCATAAACACTAATAAGAGTTTTCTGTGTAATGAGATCATATAAACCTTTTCTAATTGTGTAACCATGAATTTGTTTAGCCATTAAATTGATTTTCAACTCACCGCAAGCAAGGAGGATGCTTCCAATCATCAATGCATCAATTTCAATTCCTTCCTTCTGAGCTTTCTGGAACAGTTGCAGTGCGTTTTGGTGGTGATATCTGTTCTGCGCATATGCAGAAATGACAGTTGTCCAAGAAACTTTTTCTTTGTTGAGTATTCTATGAAAGACACGGTCCATGTAATCTATATTACCACACTTCGCATACATATCTGCAAGAGTGTTACCGATTTGTAATTCACCATCCAAACCATGTCTCATTGCAAATGCGTGAGTTTCCTTTCCATGCGTCAAATTTTCCAATCTTCCAGATGCAGAAAGCACACTCATGAGTGAGACATAGTCAGGTTTCCTCCCTGAATTCTTCATCTGGTGAAACAAAGTGATCGCTTCAGTAAAAAGCCCGTTTTGTAAATAACCAGATATCATGGAATTCCAACAAATATTGTCTTTCTGACTAACACCATTAAAAATTGTGGAAGCTTCATACATTTTATTGTTCCGTATATACATAACCAACAAAGCATTAGCAACATAAGCATCAAGAGAATAACCATATTTTATAACAAGAGCATGAACTTCTACACCAAATTCCCCAAGAAATTGGTCCTTACATGCCTGAAAAGCAGCCACAAGAGTATATGTACTTGGCTTCAAACCTGCTTTCAGAAATTTTATAAAAAGACTCGATGCTTCTTCGGTCTTCCCGTGCGTAGAATAAGCTGAAATCATAGAATTCCATGACACAATGTCTACTCTGTCACTCATCCTGTCAAAAACCAGCCTTGCAGAGCTGACATCATTGCTCTTGGCATACATATCCACAAGAGAGTTCAAAATAAAAGTATTGGATAGAAAGCCTGATCTTATAACTAAACTATGAATCTCAGTCCCACAACTTAAATCTCCAATTTCACTGCATGCCTTTAAGACACAAGGAAAAGTATGTGCATCAAAGGAAACTCCTAAAGCCCGCATCTCCTCATATACCTTAATTGCTCCCATAGGTTCACTATTGTTTACATAAGATCCAACCATAGCATTCCAGGTGAAAATAGTTCTCTGGGGCATTCTGTCAAACACCTTCCTAGCATCCGTCAACGACCCACACATTCCATACATAAATATAAGTTTGGTGTTCAAGAATACTATATCATGTACCCAGTTACCTTTCAGGGCATGAGCATGAATTTGCTTACCACATGACTGTGCCCTCTGGGCAGCACATATTTCGATGAGCAATGAGTAGTCTTTATCTAAGCATGTTTGAGATGGTTTACCCTGAGAAAACAACTCGCTGAAAGATGTGAATGCTTCTCCAAAGTTTCCTTCTCCATGGGCTGCTTTAAGGGAAGGGGTTATCGTGGGTTTTATGAAGGTTGTCAACACCCTGGCAGATTGAACATTCTGCAATTGTGCAGGCCTTGAATTCAGTGATGAGCTTGGCGGCAAGATCAATGGTGATTTATGGGTCAACGTAGCCATCTATCACTTGTAACACAGGGACTATATTCCCACCACTGTGTTGCGAGCAGAGATAAATATCTGTTTGCACTTTGACTAAACACGTCACCTAAGGAAAATTCACCAAAATGTAAAAATTGTGAGTCTGTTCGCTGAGGCTGGCTTAGCACATGTTTGGCAAGCAGCAGAAGAAGAAGGGGAACTCAAACTTAAACTAAAATGACTATAAACCAACCTTAAACTAACTCAATAAGATAAAACATACGTCGTACTTCTTAAACACAGTATCCTCATGCATGGCAAACTCATCAAAACAAATCATAGCAGGTTGCATTAAATATCCTAAAAGTAGTGGCACTCCCTGAGCTAATTTGAACTAAAATACCCTTAAATCAACATTAATCTTAATGAAAACAAGCACTGTTAAAGCAGTGGTCTTTGATGAGCTCATAAACTAAAATCAAATTTAAGAATTTGAAAAAAATCTAGGTCAACCTGTCCAAAAAACATTCTTCAATATCAAGTAGATAAATAAATGTGTGTATTGTATGGGTGTATACACACATTCAGGGCTGAATAAAAGTTTAAAAGACAAAACCTTGAGGAATTTAAAATCCAAAAGAAACTAAAACCCAGAATATGGATGACGTCCATTTACCCAAATACTGGAGTTTGTGCGCCCTTTCCCTCATGTAAGGTTTAGTTTTTCACCACCAATTCTAGGATTGTGCAGCCAAAGAATTCCAGTCTCGCGCATCATGTAGGCTTTGTTTTTGTTCTTAGGTTTGTCTTCAACCGCTCAACACTGCAAGAAGAAATAATGGAGTCTATTGTTAACCAGTACGGCACTCGGTTACATTGCGACTTCTCCTACACTTTCGATTGCTCGGTAGCAGAGAATGTTATGAATACGGAGAAAGGAGAAGAAGAAACTTCAGTATTGTCAGTCTGTCCCCCTCCCGAACCGCCGCCGTAGAGGAATCTTGTGGTTAGGGTTGGAAGATGTTTCAAATTTGGATTTATTTTATGTACTATGTATATTGCTCTTATTTTTATTTTCCGGTTTGAACTTTATGTTGTTTTGGTTGTTTTCTTTATTTCCACTAGTGGTTTTCTAGAGTTTAGGTTAAGTTATGAAAGGTCTATTGTATCTGTCACCAAAAATACTTTTTTGTACACACTATTTTGATGCACATATTTTTACACGTGTTTGGGTAGGCTTTTTTGTCTGTACAGACAAACGTGTTTTGTCTGTCCCCAGACAAAATACGTTTAGTGTGTACAGACAAAAAAAGCATACACAAACATGTGTAAAAGTGTGTGCATCAAAATAGTGTGTGCACCAAGCTCCACTCACCCTTCATTGGCTCAGTTAAGTCCATTATAGGAACAACGAGTTAGATTTCTTTTTTTGGGGGTGATAGACTATGAGTCTGGTTCGATGACATAAAGACGAGATGAAGCTTTTTGTCTTTTTTTTAACTTGTTTGAATTCTGATTATTCAATATAACCCACCTTTTTAAAAAAAAGCATGAATGTGGATGTTCTAAAGGTGAGTGTTTGAAATTAAGAGAATTATTTTTAACGAGAGGTTAAGAAAAAATTTCACTAATATTACTCTTGAAAAAGTGATTGAACAACAATGTGACTTGATAACTTTTAATGATTATAATTGTTTTCAAAGTTACAATGATTTAGCGATTATGATGTAAACTTTGAACACAATTACATTACAAATATTACGTTTTTACACATAACACACTACATCATCTTCATCTCAGATGTAGATTCTCATTTGCATTTGACACTGTTTAATTAGAGGAAAAATAATGTAAATATCTCAATTTTTGAAGTGTGTGAGATAAATATCTCAAACTTGTATATTTAATATAAATATCTTAAACATTATAAAATAAGTTATTTTAGCGCCGTGACTATATATTGTTTCTTTCACAAATGTAAATTTATTATGTTAAATAATTAATTTATACTACGTATATACTAAGCACTTTTTAGTGGCAAATTAATTCTACCTCCAATCTAATATTTGCAACACTTTTAATTTGATATTAGAATTATAATTTTCACTAGTGCATTACATGAGATGTGATTTTGAAATTGTATGTGCAAGTGTGTAGGTCCCTATTAATAGATCGGGTTACGGTTCATACATACTCCAGAACCGTCTATTTGTAACATGTATAGATTCACATGTAATTTTATTTATTTGAATTCGATCTCATGCCCGTTATAAATTATTCAATAGAGGTGATTCTCAAAATATGAGAAAAAATAATGTAGTATATTTTTTTTAAAAAAAAGCCTATGCTTTCTTCTAAATAAGAATAACTCACAATCATACTGAAATCTACTATCATATTTTGACATTGACAAACCTTAATATGATGGCATTACTGTCAAAACTAGCAGTCTTAACATAATATTAAGCGCCAGGGAAAGATGGGTATGGTGGGCCTGAAGTTAGATATGAGTAAGGGAAAGTTTTTCCTGCATTAATAACTAGAATAATAAATTCTTATCTAAGACTGGTAGGGAGGTTCTCTTGATGTGGCTGTCATTCAGGCTATGCCAACTTATTCTATAAATGTCTTTTTGTTGCGTGTTGACCTTTATCGTGAGATTGAAAATGCTATGAATGGTTATTGATGGAAAGGTAAGGCAGGAAGAGGAATTCACTGGAAGAATTGGGCATCTCTCTGTGTTCCAAAAAAAGCAAGCGGAATGGGCTTTAGAAGACTCCAAGATTTTAATCTAGCCATGTTATCCAAGCAAGCCTGGAGATTTTTCACGAACCCTGATTCTTTTGTTGGTAGAGTCTATAAAGCTATATACTTTCCGACACGGGGTTTTCTTAAAGCAAACCTGGTAGCAACCCGTCCTTTGTTTGACGCAGTTTACTTCATACCCAAACTATTATTCGGGATGGCTATTATTGGAGAGTGGGTGACGGTCATTCAATCAATATTTGGGAGGAACCATGGTTTCCAGACAGAGAAAATCTGAGGGTTATTTAAGTGTGAGGGGCTGCAAAGGGCGGTGGTGGCAAATTTGTTTGATATAAATCAAAGAGAATGGGATGTGGATATTATCATGGATATTTTTGAGACTAGAGATGCGGATATTATTTGGGGAATACCTCTGAGAAGGAATCCAATCAAGGATTCGTTATGTTGGAGATGGGAGGAAAGCGGGAATTTCTCGGTGCGCAGTTGCTACCGAAAAATTGTGGGTGAATTGGGGGACAATTTGATAAGGAATGGACTTTATGTGGGAGTTTAAACTCCCACCTAAAATTAAAATGTTTTTTTGCCAGGTTTGTAGCGGTTGTCTTCCTTCGCGATTAAATTTGCAAGCTTGTAGAGTTGACTGTTCGGAGCTTTGTGGATTACGTGGAGCTGATGCTGAATCTTTGGAGCATCTTTTTAGACATTGTGCTGCTGCCCAGGAACTTTGGATGGACATCCAGTGGCATTGGATATTTGGGGAGGAAGTGTACTTCTTGGACCAAGTCAACGAGGAATTTAAGACAAAGAAGACGGAGGAGCTAGAGAGGTTGATCTGGGGATGTTGGGCGTTATGGAACGAGCGCAATCAACGAGTTTGGACGGGCAAATCTTCACCGGCGCGACAGCAGGTTAACCGAGCTCAAGTGCTGGTGGATGGCTGGAAGCAGGCACAGGTGCGGGTCTTGCGAGGAAGGAGACAGCAGGTCGCGCAATAGAGCAAGATATCCTGGTGCAGACCAGCTCTCGGCTTCTGGAAACTGAACGTCGATGCGGCAACCAGGGCGGACAGTTGCGGTCTAGGCTGGTGCCTTCGGGGTGACGATGGACAATTCATAGCTGGAGCGGCCAAGGTATGGCCGGGAAGATTACTGCCATTGGGCGTAGAGCTGGTCGGGATTAGAGAGGCTTTGAGTTGGCTGAAAGATTTTGGTGGGGCCTCGATCGAGGTAGAATCCAATGGAGCACGGGTGATTTCTGAAATTATAAACGGATCAAGTTGTTCATTGGTGGATCTTCTGAGAGAAGACATAAGAGACTTGGCGAATTCTTTCTCCAATATTTCAATTTGTCATGTTAAGCGGTCAGCCAATAAGCCTGCACATTTGTTAGCTAGAGCGGCTTGTTCTTTGTCTGATTCGAAGTCTTGGCTTCATTCTCCTCCTTTTATTGTTTCGGCTTTAGCCAATGATTTGATTAATACGAAGTACTATTAATTAAACTCATTTCATTCAAAAAACATCATGTTCCTATTTTTGAACTTCAAATATTTTCTACTCTTATTTAGCATAATCTCTTATTTATATATGGCACATGAGGCTTCAACTTATTTACGAACAGCTTGCAAGAAAATGAAAAAGTACTCTTTCGCTTTTCTTTTAAAAAAATGTATTTGGTGTTTTCAAGTGTCAATTGTTGTTTAAATTAAACACTTTAAAGCTAAAAACTTGAAACACTTTTTTACTATTATACAAAAAATATGTTTTATTAAACAATATTAACTTTTACTTTTTCAAAATCGTTTTTCTCAAACATTGCCACCATTTACTATTTAGTGGTTTGTCTAAAATTACGTTTTTAAATACAAGCAATCATAAACAGTTACACATATCGCTTTCAAGTACATATGTATCAACACTTGAATTGATAAAATCAAGTGGTAAAATAATATGTGATATTAAAGATCCGCTGAGAAATTGAATGTATACAATTTGGTGCACCTTTTAAAAAGAGCGAGTATATGACAAATAGAAAACTTAAACATAAAAAATATAACATAATGAAAATGCACAATAATCTTATAGAAAACAGACATGATAATTTATTTATACCTGAAGGTCGGAATGAATTAGAGTTCAAAGTTTTCTCACATGATTTACAAAATCAATTGCTTTGATGAAAGAAATCATTGATAAACGAACAATGGAGATTGAACATGTTACTAGGGAAGATTTTTCGGTTAAAGCGGGCACCAACCCTGAGTTGGAGCTTCTGACCTTGAATCATGCATTTCCTCATTCTGGTGAGATTACATTTTCCATTTCAAGTGTCTTAATACAAGCTGATATTGATCAATTAGATTCTTTAGATCATGCAATAGATTTGGTTCCTGTTGAGGATGTTCAGTGCTCTATGCAAAATCATGAATCTGACCACAAATTTGAATCAGATAACATTTCGAGGAGTGTTGTTGTGATTCGGGATACTTCACAAGGGACATTAACTTTTGAAACCAAGGATATAGATGTGACAAATATCCTTGAAACTACTCCTCTTCGCGATTCTTTTTCACCTCACTCTGAATTGGAACCTAATGCTTTGGGTGGAAATGATCTTGAAGTTTCGCCTGTTCAAAGGATACTTTCTGATCGTGAGATACTAGACCACGTTGCTAACACTGAATGGGACTTTGTCAGTTCTAGATTGCTACCTCAACGAAGTGCTCGTCTCAAGGCTAAAAATTTGACTGAAACGTATGGTCGATTCTATCTTTACATAATTAGCTTTTGGATATTTTGGGGACTTCATCTCTTTCAGGCAGCTCAATACATTTTGACGGGGAGCTAATCGTTTTACTTTAGGGATTTGTAGGCCCTTTTTGGATTGTTCATTCATCAGTGTTGTTTCTTTCATCATCATTTTGTACCCTTCCTTGTATGAGGTCAGATATTATATCCAAATTTACTTCGCCGGAGATTTTTTAGTAGTACCGATAGAGTAATTGTTTAGAGAGAAGTGAGAGCTAGAGAGAGAAGTGTAGTAAATACTTCAATTAATGATTTTGTCAACCCCTACAACTACTCCCAAAAGGAGTATTTATAGGGAAAATGTGGGCTTGGCTCCTAAGTCTTGGGCTTGGGAGGCCCATCTACAACTGGGCCAAATACAAGTTATGTAGAAATGACTAAGTATGAAATCTTGTTATGTGAGTTCTCCGTGGCCGACGAGGGCGTGGCCGACGGAGGCATGGCCGACGGAGACCCAGCCGACGGGGGCACC